TTTTTAAATTACAAACTAATGTTATCAAAATAAAAAAAATTAATTTAACAGGTGTTTAAAATTACATTTTCCTCCTGTATACACTTACTACGTAGTTTTAACAATGAAAATCGAATTTTGATATTTTTGCATACATATAATTTACATTGAATATTTTTAAGATGTCATTTTAAGTGACTGTATCGTCTAAACTAAACATTTTACAAACAAATACTAAGAGACCTAAAAGTTTCCAAATAGATGATGCATTTGAATAGCGTTCGATTTTTAATAAAATTTTATATTACAAAAAAGTTGAGTAGAGAAAAGGGCGGTGACACCCTCCAAAACCGTACAAAAATAAAAAAAAATGTATTGCCTCTACCTCGATTTTGTTAGTCATGGTATTCCAACACGTGATATAAAATTTCATGAAAAAATGTCAAACGGTTTAAGAGCAACGTTAAAAAAATTTATTTAAATTTTTATATATACACCCTGTAACTATTTTTGGGTGTACTTTTGTATATATGTAAGTACGGTTTAATCAACCTATTTTTGACCCAAGAATACGTGGTATAATTTATGACCAATCTTTTTGAAACACCCTGTATAAAGGCATTAATTTTTTTTTTGGAGTGAGGGTAGCCATATGTGAGTAGTAGGGATTAAGTGTAAGGGGTTAAAGAAAAGGTCCTTTATTTCTCACAAGTCAATTTAATTGGCGACCGGTTTCGAAGCTGTCACTTCATCATCAGGCACACCTAAATGGAATGTCAAGGAGTCAGTTGTAATAAAAAACAATTATAAAAGCATGAACGGACTTATATTTATTATTTGTTTTTAATATCGTGAGCTAGAGTAACTACTACAATATTTTTCTTGAAAACAGTGACAATGGAAATTATCCATTGAATAAAATACATAGAAGTAAATGAAATTAATAGATAATGATGATTTATGTAAATATAATGCTAATAAAAAATGTACTATATATAGTAAACAATTTCAATGCGTTTTTTAATTGTTTAATGACTTTTGTTTTTAATTATGATTTTTTAAGTATAGCAAGAATTTGGCATAACTTCTCAAATAGTTCGTATCTAAAAACAGAAATTTGTCTAATTCTACAGTAATTCAATTGTAAAGTATTTCATGAAAAAAGAAGCATTAAAATGACCCAAACGAATAAAAAAATTAAAATAACATTCTTTAATACTTACGTGAACCTACATAATAAGTATTTTATCAACTAAATATTCTTATTTGTTCAAACAAACGTAGCACTTTTTAAACCCTCTATTTAAAATGGCCGACACACAGGTCGTTTTAATACAGACGTAGCTGGATTTAGGCAACTTTCTTAATATACTCTGCTGCTACCTATGGTTGTAAGGTACGACTGTAGTTTTTTGCTACATGATCAGTTAACCATTCTCTACCAAATGGTAGGAAATTGTCAATTTGGCAAAAAATGAAAGTAGGCCATTTTCATATTAGGCCGACGATATCTTTTCATACAAACCAGATGATGTGGTCATTAAAAAATGTATGTTTGTGATTAAGACATAGATTTTTCTTTTCCTTTGTATTATTAAATTTAGTTTTAAATTCGCATTAGTTTTCAAAAATAATAAGTTTACCTCATACATTTTGTCTATAAAAGTAAAAGCAATTAGATCAAATGTTTGTATTAATTTATTGATTAAATTGATTCTTGAAGCCAAAGAGTAAATATTTTCTAGAGATTGAAAGATTATCAATAAACCAAGTTTATTTTATTTTACTTGTAAAAAAAATATTTTTTTGCCTTTAAAGAACGTTCTCAAATGATATTGATTCCTTATCATCGGACGTACATCTGTGAATTTATATGTAAAACAAAAAAATCGACCATTCCGATGGTTTTCAAAAGTAAGCCCATTCAAGAACACCGAGGGACACGAGCGTGGGTGGATATCTCCGGCGTACTTCCTACAGATCACCCACGCTCTTCACAGACAGTGGCACGTGACAGTGAATGATTATCATAGTCGTATCCAAAATTAATTTGAAAGAAGTTCATTGTATAATAATAATTTATAAATAATACTTTTACTTTCTCAAAGATTGAGGTAAGTAAATCCAAAATAATTCCACTACGTTTTTTATAACTATGCACCACTGATGGTATCTTCAAATCAAAGAAAATCTTAACTCGAGTTGGGTTCGACTCTACAAATTTATGTTGATTTAGAGAAGACAAAAATAAATAAACAATAGCAAATTTTCTGTATTCCGTTTTGGGTCAATTTTCCTTTTTCATTTCATTCTGCTTTCTCTGCTTCTGATTGTCCTGTTTGCTCTGTTCGATCCTTGCATCTCCTGCCTAATATGCTCCTTAACCATGTACACCTCTGCTTCTGGTTAATATTGGTTTCTAAATTAAATAAATTTTATTTATTTATATTGTTTTTATTTCATTTTTACTGCATAACAATTCTTCAACTCTCACAATAAATCCACACGGTAGGCCAGAGGAAATGAGAAAATTTTTGTTTTTGGAATAACTTTGTTCCTTAAAATTATTTTTATATCAAATTTGCGGGAAATATTCACAAAATTACAGATCTCCATAAAATATATGAAAATCTATCGAGATTTAATTAGAATATTATACAAAATTAAAGTTATTTTAAAGAATTTTTTTCAAATAATTTTATATCGACCTCTGTCGATCAATTTTTTATTACATGAGGTATTTTTTGAGGATTTTTTAACCCCTTTATCTCCCCCTTGGTGAGATTTCGTAAGATTCCTTCTCCCGCCCCTAATCTCACGTGAAATTTTTCAAATTTTGTGTTTTGAGTGTAAATGCGTCGGATTATTAAAAAAACAAAAACACAATCTGTTCTATTACTTTTATTTAAGACTAACAATGACTAGTATTTGAGAATATTGCCGTAATAATAATAAAATTTCTATAAACATTCTTTACTTTAATTTAACTTTAATTTCACGCAATTTTAAACCGTTTTCTACTAGAAATAAATTACGAAGTGAGATTTGGAAAGACTTAGCTTGACCCCCCCCCCCCCCTTGAACACCTCATGTTAATAATGGACACCCCCTTATTACAATTAGTAGCTTTATAAAATATTAACAAAATTTTCAAATCAATGCTTTTATGTTTTACGTCACATCTGCAATAAATGTGTTAGCTACCTCGAGTTCTGTGTAGACTTTCTTATTATTTCCCATCGCTACTTTAGAAACATTACTTTTAATTCGTTCTCAAGAGTGAATGGTCGAGTGAGAGATTTTACACAAACAAAGTTATTTTTTAATTAGTAACAATTCCGTTCCTGGGAGCATTCGAATCTGGGACCCACTGTTATAAGTTATAAGCTTTAACCTCTCCTCTGTGCTTCTCACCCCTAGCTGCCTCATTGGTAGATAATTGTTCATTCAGTAGCGGTACAAAGATATACTAATTTCTCATTTAAATTAATTCTGAAAAGCAATAAATATTAAAAGGAAGCAAATATGATTTATTATCCAAGTTCTTAAAGTGCTACACCCACTAGAAAAAAAAATGAAACAAATGTTCATCTTAGGTCTGCGGGCGAGATTATAATTAAATTTCTGGTATTTAGATGGGTTATTCATAACTGGTAGTTTTTATTTTTTTCTGTCCTATCCTTACGCGTACCATACCTAGATTTTAAGAACAATATAAGTAGGTATATAAGAGAGAATATTCCTGCATCAATAATAAGAATTATCAATCTTACGCAGGATATGAAGGATAACATACGCATAATTTTATTAGGAGATTAATGGGACAAAATGAAGCTAAAGTTATAGCTCCAAAGTTATATAAACTCTCTCAAAAGTACAACTTAATTCACAAACGATCTCGAAACGTATATCTTGTAATCTATAATGAACGTCTAATATCTAGAGTTAGGTTATATTTTACGATCTGTTAATTAATAACTGGTACTTAAAAATTATTGGTAGTTTATGAATTATGGTCCAACTTGGCTTCAGTTACCTACCCTTCTCCCCTTAATTTTTAAATTCGTCTTTTCCTATTCAAAAAATAAAAATTTAGCAAAACAAGCCGTGGATTACAGCTTGTTTAAGATGTTCATCAAAAAATATGAGGTATATCTCAATTAAATAAAAAAAAAATTACTCAAACACAATTATTTTTAGACTACTATTGTCGCTACAAAACTTTATAGAGAATACTTATTTGAAAAATTAAAGATATGTATTATCATACAAGAATTGAGAGCTCAAATAATAAGGAAAGGGAAACGTGGTCTATTATAATTAAATTGAGAGGCAAAAGTACCCATAAATTATGCATTGCAATAATTATAAATCCTAACGATTTCAATACATTTTATTGCAATATCGCTAAACATCTAATATCAAATCTAAATAGAACAATTGACCCAATAGAATTTGTAAAATCTTCACCTATTAAATACTCATTTTTCTTAAGAGAAACAAATCCTCAGAAGTATTATAACCCCTTCGCAACCAGTCTATCTAAGCAAAGTAACGTTCCCTATACCAGAAGTAATATGGTAAAATTTCTGCAAAATGATATTGCTCTGCATCATGCGATTAGAGAGGGGTTATATATTTTTACAAATTTTTCTTCACAAATGTGAAAAAGGATTTTTTTATTTTGTGCATATACCATTATATCCACATCAGGATATATGTGATATACCATAATATCCACGTCTGGATACACATAGCATACCACAGTATTCACATCAGGATATAATGTAAAACACTAAAATATTCTCAAACTTTAAAATGACAATATTCTCCATAAAATGAAGTAGAAAACATAAATATGACGAAAATATGTCCTAGTTAGTTATCAGCGTAATATTGCACTAAATGTTTGGCACAACACAGGCCGGGTTTCTCCACGCATCCGAAGCAAGCTTTGCGGGTCAGCTCTCTAATGCCGTTTTGTTTACAAATCACACAGACTTTTCTAAGTGGCCACCTACTTTTGGAAAATCGGCTATTACATGGGGATCTCTTGCTGGGGACTGCGGTGGAGTTTGAAGTTTTACGTATCCCTCGTTGTATTTCATCAGAACTTCATGGCAACATATCTTCATGTATTCATACATTGAAATTTTCTTCGCATGGGCGTTGGAATAGATAACTTTTGAGTTGAGAAGCATTTGTTGCAGAGCCTGAAATCCAACTTTTGTAGACCAAGTATAACTTTTACGCAAAAAATTATAAGTCTCTAGATCCTGGTCGATGGCGTCTACTGCTTCCATATTTTGATTATAAAATTCGATATGTTGTGGCTTGGTAAAAAGGACTTGTTTCCCCCCACACATATATCTTGATGTCCTTTTTATCTTTGAACCTAACTAGCAGCAACATATTCTTTCAAGCAAAGCAAGTTTGATACCTATTCAAAGGCACTTCTGTAAGCTGCTTCGGAACTCCTCGGTTAGGTCTTATCGTCACCGTTAGATATGTTTTTTGCGTGAGTAAAAATTCTACATAACGCACAAACACATACCAATTGTCAAGAATTATTTCTCGACCCTGGTTGAGTAAGTAACTTGCTAAATGAACAACAATTCTCTCAGAGACAGTAAGGTTCTCCGTGCCGGGCATATGGGACACATCAAAAAGATCTTTGCCAATATATACAGAAAAATTCCACGTATAACCTCTCAGAGCAGATGCCCTTGGACATAGCGTAAATATTTTTATGCCAAATCGATTCCTCTTAGACTTTATGTACTGCCTAAAGTGCAGCCGGCCTTTGTACAACATCAGTTGTTCATCAGTAGCAAACGTTTATCCAGGGTTAACTAGTATTTGACAGTTGTCCTTCAGCATGCTCAAAAATATTCCCAATCTTGTGAGAGGTGTCCCTTTTTTAACGGAAGAAGGAGAAGAAAATCTAATAAATTTTAAAATGGCTATAAATCGATTCCTGCTCATAACACTTTTGTCAAACACTCTTGGACCTGAACAAAGGTTATTGCTGTTCCAGTAATCTCTAATTCTCGGGCATTTAGTGAAACCACTGAGAAAATGTAGGATTACGTTTGTAAACAAAGTGAAACACATGATCCTTGTTTCACATAACCTAGCTTTTTTTGTCATTTTCTATACGGGCTAATATACCAATGTATCCAAGTAGTGATACATACGATATACCATCACTTTAACTGCCATTCCAGACCTTCTAAATTAAAGCGCTTTGCATTCATACGTTGTATCCATAAGTGGATACCATGGTATGTAGAGGTATAGGTAACATACGTGAATACACTGGTTGTGAAGGGGTTAAAAGTTTGTAATGACATAAACAACAAAACTGCATCAGGATATGATGGAATATCAGTAAAAATATTTCAAAACTTTCATACCTCTGCGTTGGACTTTTTATCCATTTTCATAAATAAAAGTTTTGCTGAAGGAACTTTTCCTCCTTTTCTTAAAACTATATTTTCCATACGTCTGGATTTACTCGAACATGTTTGGGTTTTTAAGGTGTCCGGGGCAGTCCGGCCGGAATTTGAAAAAGTATCCGGGAAACAACAAAAAGTGGTCAACTAATTTTCAGCAATGTTATAGGTAACGATTGAAAGTTTTTCAGAATTGCTAAAAATATGTGAATTCTTCTTTGCTATTACTGCACACAATGCAAATGTTAAGCAAATATTTTCTCTAATTGCGGCCGAATGAACAAAAGATCAGAATAAGCTTTCTCTCAAGTCTATAAAAGGTTTAATAGTGACCATATTTAATTTGACGTGACCTGTTCTTAGTTTTATGACTATATTATGTTACCAGATCATATTTCGCTCAGAAATCAGAGAAATATCACGTAAAATAGTTTTTTTAAGTCCGACCAGAAAATATACACTTTCTGAACAATTTTTCTTCCAGAAAATAACATTTTGCCTATCAAGACCGAAAAGTGGACGTTAGGGACCGGTAAGAGCTATTACCGGTCTCTGTTTTTCATTTTTCCGATCGCTGTTTGATAATACAGTCTACTTTGATTTCGTTGCTATGGTAACAACGTTCCGATTTATTACAAAGTGACAGTTCGTTGATTTTTAATTTGTTGTTTGTGTCAAACATGTTCTCGCAAATTTATTAATAATAATATTAATAACAATACTATCCCTAATTCACCCCCTTACGAGTGAATTTTAACCCCAAAAGCTGAGCTTGTCCGGGGAAAGGGACGGGCATTATTATTATTATTATTTGCTGTGGCGCTCCGGGGCGACGTAATAAAGATGATTGATAGTGTTTTTTGACTTAGAGGTGAAGAAAACCCGGAAAACATCACCCACCATCATCAAAAACGGTAACGCATGGCGATTTTTAATAATCTGGATGTCATATCAACAGAAATTAAATGGCTGCTAATACGGCATCCACCAAATCCTATAGAGAACCATGCAAATAAATTCACATGGTCTTCCGTAGGATTCCAAACCGTGTCTCGTTTTACCAGAAAATTGGCTCGCAAATGAATGCCGTGTCGTAGACACCTATGCTACCGTAGTCGATAAAAATATGGATTCAGATTTTGAATTATCTGACATAAAAAATAAAATTCCAGAAGAAATTTTGAAAGCAGCAAAAAATGGCGACTTATAATATATCGCCAGTAAAAGCAAATAAACAATTAGGTTAACATCAAAGTGTCGATCTTAAAAAAATATATTGTACGCCACGTGACCGAAAATTAATGTTAAGCATGTCTCTCCAAGCTTCCAGATCTTGCCCTGGAATCTTGTCTCGACCTGAAAAACACTACTTTCCAACCTTGTAACGTAAATTACTAATTTTTAAACAAATCATGCCAACTGTGTTTTTTTCCAAAGATTGGAGATTTAATTTAACCCCCCCCTTTCCCCCCCGCCATAAGTACATCAATCAAATTATGACGCATTATTCGACAATGTCCAGATTTCACGGCTCACTTGTCCTAAATTTCATAAAACCTTTATGGAAACCCTACTTAAAACGAGTGTTGTGGTTCCATTATATAAGGGAAGAGACTTGACTGAGTTGTCTAATTTTAGGCCCATATCTCTAATTCCGACACTGGGAAAAATTATTGAGAAACTTGTAAAAACTCGACTAGTTAGATATCTAGACCAAAATAATGTACTGGATATAAATCAATTCGGTTTTCAACATAAAAACATATCGGATGCTGTTTCTTCTTGTTTGAAATTAACCTATACAAGTATAAATTTCAGCGAGGCCGTAGCTGCAGTATTTTGTGATCTGACTAAAGCTTTTGACTGTATCAACCACGTAGTACTGTTGCGAAAGCTTGAAGTTTACGGTATAAGAGATGTGGCCTTAAAACGGATGAAATTCTACCTTTCAGGTCACAAACAGTTAGTCCGAACTGTTTCAGACTTGCAAATAAGCTACATAAAATGGGGTGTTCCTCAAGGTTCTATTCTTGAGCCCATCCTGTCTTTAATTCATATAAATTTAGTTAAGTTAAATATCTAAGGAAGTTTCACTCTATTTGCTGAAAATACTACTATTTTGTGACATAATGTGAATATTCTTCATTCAAATATTAGTAATGATCTCAAATCTTTCAAAACATGACGTACTGCAAGTTTTCTTTCATTATATTAAAAACAAAACAAAAATACCAACCTTTAAATGTAATAGTCCCGATATTTTAATAGATATGGATAATATAGAATCCACAGACTCTACAAAATTTTTAGGTTTAAATATCGACACGGATTTGAAATTAAAATCTCATGTTGATCCACTTTTAAAAAAAAACTCGCATCGGTTTGTTATGCCATTAGAACTACATCTCGTGAATAGAAGTTTGCGTGCAGCAGAAACTGCATATTATGCGTTAGTTGACTCCCATTTACGTTATACTGTTCAGTTTTGAAGAGTTTGTTCTGTCGAATTATTTGGTAGTCTTTATAATGCAGAAATGTACAATAATGTTCTTATGTGCAGCACACAGATTTGTTTTATGTAGACCGCTGTTCTTAATTCATGAATTATTAACATTGACTTCATTATTTATCTTAGAAACTTGTTGCATGATCCATGAGAACAAATCTAAATATAAATAGAATATATCTTGTGTAACTTCCCAAACGGGTAACTTAAAGATGCTTATTCTCAGAAATGAACTCATAAGAGACTCTTTTATTGATAATGGCATCAAGATGTACAACAGGCTAGTGAGATGTTGAGTCACAAAATTGTTTTAGAAAGTTGCTCAGACTAGATCTTATTATGATATTACATAATTTTGTGTTTCATTTTGCTTTCTATCTTTTTTCCTTCCAACTTTTAAAAAAAAAACATCATTGAATATATAAAAATATTTACTGTATACAATGATTTTTTGGAATATAGATAATTTATTAAACTTCCATTCATAATTTTTTTTATCAGGTCTTTTGAAATGTCATTATCACTCAACGAATTGTATATCAATGGACTAATTTAGATTTTTTTTTATCATTTTATTACGGAAATAAATTGTGCGAAATTTATCTCTCTTTGGGCGGTATTTCGAGGACGCTGTAGCTCATCTTCGATTAGATACATTGGTTTATTTTAGTTGACCTAGTAACGACGACAAACGGAAGTCATTCTAAAAAACTTATGAAATAAAATATAATCAAAAAATATTTATGTAGGTACTGATTGCCAAAAATTGGACAAGATAATTTATCAATTTTCTGATGATACATTAAAACAATGCTTTTGTATCTTTATTAGCGACAAAATATAAAACTATATCATTTAACAATACCTATTTAAAAAATATACATTTTTAAAGAGTTTTAATTTTATTTAATTCTATAATTGTCCACTTTTCTATTATGTTAAATATTTTTCAGTCCTGAGGTTTCATAGAGATTCCCGTTAAATGTTCGTTTTTAACTGTTTACTCATTTCAAAACAATAATAATTTTAATTCTTAATGAGTAAACTTTGTCTACTTTTTAAGTATGTTTATAATTTCTTAAAATAATTTTGTTTTTTGATATTGACGAATATATTGTTGATTAGTTTTCAGTGGCTGGAATTACATATCGACGGTGAAACGTGAAGAGTACTGATTTTTAATATTTCTTGTGTAATTACATATATTTTTATATTCTTTATTAATTCCCCCATTTTACAAACTGGTATTCTTTCCTGCTTCTTAATTGAATTTAAAGATGGTTTTTATATTTAGAAATAATAATATGACGTCTTTCTTTTTGAATAAATGTATTTTGACAAG